GCAGCAGCAGTCTCTAGTTGCTGCTGCTGCTGCTGCTGCTGCTAATGTTAATGCATGCGGTGATGATACAGCTGCAACAGCAGCAGCAGGTGGACAGGAAGAAGCCCTTGTTGCTGCTCTTGCTGATGCAGCAGAGCAGCAAGCAGCAGCAGCAGCAGCAGCACATGAGAGCGGTCTGCTGCTGCTGCCTCCAGTAAGAAGTTGTGTTGTTGTAGAGAGTCTAGATAAGGGTTTGCTGCTGCTGCTGCGGCAGCAGCAGCAACTCGTACGCAGGTTGCTGCTGGCCGTAGAGCAGCAGCAGCAAACATGGCAGCAGCAACAACAGCAGCAACAGCAGCAGCAGCAATACAGGCCTGTACTTCAGGTGTATGTACACCTCAGTAACATATTTAGCAGAAGAGGAACAGATAAGAGGCTGCCTGCTGTTTTGCTGCAGCAAGCGCAGCAGCAACAGCAGCAGCAGCAGGAGAAATCCTATCAGAGGAAGCAGCAGCAGCTGCTGCTAGCAAGAACTATGTGGAGTAAATTGCTGCGTAAGCTGCAGCGCAGCAGCAGCTGCTGCAGCAACAGCAGCTGCTGCTGCTGCAGGCGACGTCAGCTACGCCTACAGACAGCTAACCCGCACGACCACCATCACCATCAGCAGCAGCAGCAGCAACAGCAGCAGCAGCAGCAACAGCAGCAGCAGGAGCAGCAGCGTCTCCTTAGCCTAGATACAAGCAGCTGGGACTCTCCGTCGTTATTTAGTAGCTGTGCAGCAGACAACAGAGAGAGCAGCTTACCTTACTGCAGCAGCAGCAGCAGCAGCACTCCTGCTGCTGCTGCTGCACCTGCTGCTGCTGCTGCTGCTGCTCGTAAGACTGAATGGAAAGAAGAAGCAGATAGTTGCTGCAGCGGATGGCGAAGCTTAGGGAGAGTTGCTGCTCAGGTACCTGCTGAGGATGTTGGGGTGTATCTGCTGCAGCGCTGCTGGTGTGCAGCAGCAGCAGCAGCAGCAGCAGCAGCAGCAGGTGGTTCTGCTGCTGCTGCTCCTGCTGCTGCACCTGCTCCACAGAAAGGAGACTAATTAAGAGACACAAGAAAAAAAATAACGGGAAGAGGAGAGGGACTTAGAACAATGTATCTGCTGCTGCTGCTGCTGCAGCAACAGCAGCAGCAACAGCAGCAGCAGCAGCAGCAGCAGCGACAGCGTTTGTTTTTGTTGCGGTTTTCGTGTTTAAGGGTTTAGATAGAAAGGAGACAGTTTTGTTTTTTTAGGGTTTAGGGTTTAGTAGAAACCCTAAACCCTAAACCCTAAACCCTAGAAACCCCAGGGAAAGAGTTTGAGGGTTTGCTGCTTGCATATATATACACCTCAATGCAGCAGCTAAACCCTAAACCCTCGCTAGCCCTCTCCGCAGCAAAACCCTAGTATATAAGACGTTGAGCCTAAACCCTAAACCCTAGACCCCTCTTATATAGGGTTTAGGGTTTAGAGGCTAGGGTTTATAAATTAGGGTTTAGGGTTTAGCCTATAAAAGGGCAATCAGCCGACCATCAGTCGCTTTCTGCCCCGTAGACGCACTGCGCATAGCACAAACCCTAAACCCTAAACCCTAAACCCTAAGCATTTAGATAGTGAGGCATAATATATATATATATATATATA